GGCCCCCCCCCCCCCCCCCCCCCACTTTTTTTTTCTATGTTTTGTTTCAATTTTCGAAATCATTATAAAATTTGAAACGAAATCGAAATATTGCATTCTTAATATTATTTCGAAGTGCTCACAGTCTAGTTTTTTTCGATTGTAAAATTTCTCCCAATTTTTTTAAAAATTCGATTGTGTCCGCTAACTTTAATTGTCTATGTCCGTCCCGACGTTATGTATCACAGGTTTTTAAATTCTGTATCTTTAACCACAACATCAACCATACTGCCACGTCGTGTATCGTATTGAGCCGCCTGATGCAATTTTTCAATATGAATTGATGTTTTACATATACAACAAACGATCAGATGATCATTTCCTTGCGTTTTTTTTTTCTTTTTTTTTTTCTGACTTATATTTTTAATAGATCAGTAGTTTGGGTAAGAATTCCGGACATTTGTAATGCAAAACAATACTCCCCTGGTTCATTGTTTATATTTAAAAATAGATAGGTTGTTGAGTTTTGATATTCAATAAATCTCGATTAATGATGTTAAACAATTTAGAATATATTTAATAGGTCTCGATCGATGAGTGAAATAATTATCAACACAATAAATTAGAAGGCAACCTAAAAGCAAGCGGGCCATTAATAGCAACTTAATTAATTAATGGTAACTTACAAAAATACCTTTAAAATTAGAGGTCTTTTGAAAAATCATACGAAAAATATTTTTGAAGTAAAAAATACTTTTTAATTAAAAATAACATACAATATTAAAAAGTGATAGAAATTTCAATAAAGTGATAAACACTAAAAAAAAAAAGTGACAAGACAATAATTCAAAAAAGCAATATAAATTTTAAAAAAGTGACAAATTCAAAAAAATGACAGAAAATAAAAATAATGACACGCACTAAAAAAATGACAAAATTCAAAAGAAGTTACAAACGCAAAAAAGTGATATGTTAAAAAAATGACAGAAATTTAAAAAAGTGACAAAAATTCAAAAAAATGACACATTAAAAAAAATGATAAAACAACAATCAAAACTTATATTTGTCACTAAAAAGGTGACATAAATTTTTAAAAAAAGTAATATACAACAAAAAAAATGATAGAAATTTCGAAAAAGTGAGAAAAAAAAGTATTTAACACTCAAAAAAATTATAAAAATGCAAAAAAGTGACAAACACTAAAAAAAAGTAACAAAACACCAATCAAAACTTTAAAATGCCACTTTTTTGTTATACAATGTCACTTTTTAATACAAATATATCAAAACCTTAAAATATATCATTTTATGCAAATTCAACCACTCCTCCTCCTCCACCTCCACCTCCACCTCCACCAAGGCCAACTCTGCAAGCGAAAGGCCTCTCAAAACATTACAACAAACCCTAGCCCTTAGTTTCAATTGAGACTTCGTAAAAGGATATACAAGTAACAAAACATGACATTTGCATTCATCAAAACATGATTTTGCCCTT